AGAGAAGTAGCAATGCGTTTAAATGTACACCGAGCTTGGAAATGCCACATGTTCTCTAGGCTTGTTTCAAGCATCAAGCAATTAGTTTCAGTGCTCACCAAGCTGCAACTTTGGCCAGTTTCACCCACCCACCCATTCCCAACCCTCCCCTCCCTTCCCTCACCTTCTCTGCCTTCCCTTCTCCCCAGAGAACTCGACATTAGAATAGATGTCTGGAGGGCGGAATATTCTCTTGTAGGGCTGTGCCCATCTGGCTAGTACTGGAACTAGTTATCCGAAAATTGGTTATCCAAAAGGGGGTACCAAGTTACATGGAGGAGAGCTTCAAGAGAGGAAACATCAAGCTGTTTGAAGCCGCGAAACTAATCTCTATGAACCAAACAAGCGTACCGTACTGGGAAACCCAAACCAGAACCAGTAGTCGGTTCAGTGTAAAATTGAATAGATTTTCATAAACATTTAAATTCATAAAGTCAATCCATGGCAGTGAATGCTAATGCATTGGAATCGGGCATTGAATGTAGATACTGAATCTTAGTTATCACCCATTTTAGATCCAGTAGAGTGCACATGCCCTTGCTCTTTGGCAAATCACACAGTCAGCATATTTGAGCCTTGGAAAGTTGCCCCCAAAAATCTGTCTTGATTTTTTCATTGTCAGATCTAAAGTTTGAGTTTAATGTTACGTTGCTCAGCTGCTACATGTAAGCATGAAGAGATAGTAGCATGTTTTAAACTGAAGGTAGATTTCACAGGGTTTGGTGGAGAGGTTGAATCCTTGGAGAAGAACCAATTTCAATTTTACCTGACACTTGCTGCAAATTTAATGTAGTGTTATTAAATAAAGTGGGGGGGGGAGGGGGAGGAGGGGAGGGGGAGGGAAAGCAACAGCAACCAGTGACCGCAGGAGAAAAGAATGTGGACTTGATGAAGGAATTTTCACTGCAAAGTACCCCTCCCCCAAACACAGCCAGCTGATGACAGGAATTCCATAAAAACCATTCAATAAATCCTGGTGTTGAATGATGCGGCTAAGTGTTGGGCGGATTTGATGAGCTGTGTTGGATCATCAGTAAGGGATGGGTGGTAGCGGTGATGGTGCGGTTGGAGGGAGGGAAATAAATGGTTAGTCCAAAAGAGCCTCGGTAAATTCCTTTCCAAAACAGCTCTTGTTAATTTTGTGCCATTTAGTCTCGGCCACAGGTAAACCTGTTCACAAGCCTCCGACTTTTATGAAGGGGCATAAAATGTTTTCTGGTCTCCGGCTAAGAATGCCTGGAAGTAGTTGCCTGACAGATGGGGGTGGACAGTCTCAATTTTTTCTCGGTCCACTGTGCTTTGCATGGTTGCACAGCAGTTGGGGGTGTATACGGGGGGAGGGAGAAGAGACGTAAAACCTAGCAAGCTTGGGAGATATAAAATCAGGATTTGGACAGATTATGGCCGTGTGATTTATTCAGTCTGTTCTGTGGGCAAAAGGTGATTGTTGGCTAGCTGGAACTCGAGATGTGGGCGGTTTCCAGTGTTTTGCAAAGATTTCGCAAGTGTAAACCTTGGTTGTGTTTGCTTATTTTGGCATTCAATGATTGGCTTGTTTATCAGGTTTCTCTTCTTTGTCGTTAATTAAGTACCCATTTGTGTGTCCTTTAATCAGTAAGTTACTGTGTTGCTGAAATGACACCCCCCCAAAAAAATTCACCGAGAAACAGTGAGATCCCTCACATAAGGCCGGACAGTTCAATTAGTATTGTGTAGAATGACTGTGTCATCTTCAGGGCCGGCCACAGGCTCAAATCCCAAACCCTGTTCCAGTCATTCATTTTGATGCACCGACAGTTGTTTGATTACTAATTTATCACGTGTTCTCACAGATTTTAAAGCACTGCCAACAGGTGTTGTTTTAGCGACAGAACATCTGATTTTGTACTGAAGATGAACAGAGGATACCATTCAAAACTTTGAAATCTTCCCACACAGGTTGTTCTTTGCAGAGCAAACATTTCCTCACAAACGAGATCTTTTTCAAGGTGTACCCACAAACTGTCTTTCCATACTTGCCACTCGGATCGTGCAAAGCTTCAAATGACTCTTTACTTTGTTTTTGTATTGCATGCTGTACAGATCCGTAGTTGATTACCCAGTGTTCTTCAGTAGCATGCTACGGGGTCAAGAAACAAAAATCTTGGCAAAGAAGAAACCTGTCCACCGCCCCAGGCCTCCCCATCTCACTTCTGCTACTTGTCAAACTTTCTTTGAAGATAATCATGGAAATGTTTTTCAAAGCCCCCCCCCACACACACAAAGTCTGACTCCCTTAATTTGCATAGTACTTTGACATCAGTCTTTTGCAAGGCATTTCAGATCATATTTTTTTTCATTTGGGGGAAAGAGGTTAACTGCGGTTCCACTCACAGTCTGCTCTCATGTGATAACTGAACATCAATTAATTTGACTGACGGGATTTGAGTGTGGAGGGGGATGGGAATTGTGTATGAGGATGCAAGTTTCCAACTGGGTGGTCAGATGATTTCCTGTCTGTTTCTGCCTGATGTGGGTGATCCAGACAGACTTGCATTGTGGGTTTTGGTACAGCGTCCCCTCCCCCCATTCCCCACGGTTCTGCAGGAGGTGAACCAACCAACACTTGCAGGGGTCACAAGATTGATTTCTGTCAGCAGCTTCAGGGAGCAGGCATTTGTTTTCCCCTCAGTTACCAGTTCAGGTGTTTTTCAGATTAGAAAAGCTGGACGTGTCGATTTTCTTGTGGAAGAATTTACCTTCTCAGAGAACGGGCCAACAAGTTTTCCGGCCAGGAAAACTCCTTTGAAAAGAGGGACCCGGCATCTGAAATGCTTAGTATTACAATGTACTTTGATTAGAAAGCAGTTCATCAATACTGTTGATTATTTGAACTAAAATGGATAGATTGGCCAAGCCAATAGTGTATAAACTTAGTCAAAAATTATCTGTTGAGTATTGTTTTATCATATATTATCAGTTAAACCTAACACTGATTTTATTGGCCGATTTATCTTTGTCCCTTTTTCTTTGCTCGTGGAACGTTTTCTTTTAAAACCTTATACATGTAAGTATTATTGTAGATGCATGCAATTTGGCAACTCTCCTGTTTAAACTCCCAACCCCCTTCTCCAAAATTCCATCTTGGTTACGATTGTGTTCAGAGAATTCCAAGCCTTGGCTCTCTGTTGTGTTCCAACCTTCTCAGCCGCCCACCTCTAGGCACCCATCCCTCAGGTATCAATCACTACTAGCCAGCATAATCGTGCCTCAACATTGAATAAGTATCGGGGCCAGGGTTTAATTCTGAAACCCACTGAAACCCACAGTGGTTCTGCTCAGTTTCATGGGGATGGATCCCAGCGGACCTCCTTTACCGTCTCTGGCCATCTCAAGTTTTGTCATCTTTCCACAGGATTTTTTTGGGGGGGAGTCTGTCCCTATATCTTATGGTCAGAGATGCTCTGTCAGCAGTGGTGTTATTCCCTGCCTTGTTGAAGGGTGCTGAAATGTGGGTCCATTATCCCCAGCTAAACCCTCCCCCCCAAAAATTTAACAAGCTTTCCAGACCGTTCTGCTTATACATGTACATCTTGATTAGAGCATGATCCAAAGAAATGGTTCACAGATGCAAGATTATGCCACAGAATCTAAAAGCATTTAATGGATTACTGTCTGGATAATGCAGATTTTGAAAGACGGTTTTCCTCAGTTACTCTCTGATCTCCATTTTTTCCTCTCTCCTTTCTTGTTGCGCTAAGTAGGTGGGGTTCCAGATGCTCACATATGGAGCTGGGGAAAAGAAAGTTGGAATTTTGAAATGCAAGTAAAAGAGAATTTTAAACTTGGATGGGAACAATTGTACAGCTGTGCAAAAGTGTCAAATAGCAGCAGGTGTGAATTGAAATATTGTGCATATTCCCCCCCCCCTTTTAATCAAATGTTCCCCTCCCCTTGGCTACCTTCACTGGTGGACTGACTTGAAGAGTTATAGCTGTTTGAGGGTATTTTGGAGATTTTGGAGGTTTTTATTCTCTCCAGATGAGACTCGGGGTCTGTGAGTTATGGGTGCTGGTGGATTCAGGTTTGACCTCCGACCCCCATTATTACTACCAAAAAATCTCTGTGTTTTTGATACCTTTGGGTCAGTTTTCTTCAGAGATTTTCAAATGGGTTGCCATGTTCTTGTGGGATAGACCCCCAAATTGTTGCAGATGTTAAATAGTGACCTATTTATGACATACTTCTTAGTCACTTTTTTTCCTGTGGTGGAGGAGAGGTTCACATGTTTCCGAGCGTAGCAACATTTTGGGGGGATTTGATTGAAATATGTCTACTTACTCAATAAAATTTCTTGGGAAAAAAGAGAAATTGTCTAGTTTCTCAGGACAGTATGGTTTTCGCTTGTGTCTCATGTAAAAGAAAAGACTGAAATAAAGGGAGTTAGGAGTTGAGATGAGGGTAAAATGTGATGAGGGGGGTGTGCCAAAACTTCACAGCCGCCCCCACGCCTATAGTCTCCAGGGGTCACGCCAGGAATCTTGGAAAAGTATGAGTTGTGACCAAAGTGCGAATGGTTACCCTGCCATTCAAGGAAAGAAAATTACCTTTGTAAAATTCACTCAAGGTTTAGCTTTCAATCATTAGAGATCACAGCACCCTCTTTTGTCGATGCATAAGGGTCAGTGCAGAATTACTGCAATAGAACATCAGACACTCCGTCTCATATCCCTGCATTGATCATTAAGTTCGCTGTCAGATTTTCCCCTATCATTGTTTTCCACAAAAAAGACATTTTTTTAAGGTGGCACTTTTTGTTAAATCCTGTCTTTGATCAATATGTCCTGCACCTGCCTTCATACAGGTCTTGGGCAACTCATGGAAAGCCTGTTGTTGCAATATTACCTTTACAGGTCATGCTAAAGCTTTCGAACCAAAAACCAGCTAATTTTCATTTTGTTTTTGTCTTCTCTTTGTTTCAGACACAGCGCCGAATCAAATTCATCCACAGTGATATAGAGAAGCCTGCTGCATTGGAACAATCCCCGGTCACACCCGACCAAGTACGTAACGGTAAAATGGATGCTCTTTGTAGTCTGGTGAAGATTCCAATAGCACGTTCTTAGTAATAATGCTCCTTTGTACGCTGATTAGCAAAATGCATTATGTGGTGTCAGTTGCACTAGACTGGACCAAAGAGGTTTCTCCACCCCGTTCCACTTCAATCCCCGCCCCGACGCACACCCTCCAAATCTCTCCGTACCTCCCCCCAGCATCAACGTTAGTAGGAGTGTTTGTATTATTGCAGCGACTATAACCCAAGCTGTTTATAGTCCAAATTTTTTCGACACCATTATAGACCCTGCTCTGGAGGATGTAGTGATGCAAGGGTTTTAGTTATACGTGTACCTGTTATTTTACTCAGCGTGGCAAAACCCTTATGCGATTGAATTGCTTTCTCGCATGGATGTGCTTCAACAACAACTTTAACTCGTGTCAGAATTTCAGCTTAGCAGAGTTTCGGTGCTGTATGAAATGACATTGAAAAGATCTTTGTCTTTGGTTGAGAGCTCTCGGTGGAATTTGAATCACCACGGGATGGTGGTTTCGAGTACCGTCAGCCATCATGTCGCTGTCCCCCATTTAGAAACCTGAAGGGCAGGCGGCAGTGAAGATACAGACTGCGCCAACTAAGGACAATGCTCCTGGTTGACACTCTGCCCCGGCCTGGGTCATCCTCTCCATGATTTACAGCTTGTCGGGCCAGCCATGTGGGTCCAACTGTTGCTCCCTCACAAATAAACACTGGCAAACAAGCCAAGGTATCTGCGGGAATTTATCGGCTCCTCCCCCTGTAAAAAAAATGCCGAGGGAATGACAGAGGCAACCTGTGCATCTGATGGCTATAGAAAATTCAGTTTTCATTGTCATTGGTAATCTGCATAATTGATTGATTATGCTGTGCTCCTGGTCAGTCTTGTATAATCTTGTCATCGTGTACGCAAAGACCATACATGTTGGAATAAATTAGTTACGCATAGTCAGTGTGCTCCGTGTCAAACGCGCACATCCTTGTGCGCCTCATGGTGCACCTGTGTGGTGAGTACCAAAAAAACATGCCCTCTTTTGTTCCGCACAAAATACATGCTGGGTACCGAGCAAAAATCAACCAGCAGTTGACAAATGGTTGTTACCGAGTGAAACTTTCCTGTGCGTAGCAGCGTCTTTCTGTAATACATGTATATGTAGGATCCTCTACAAGCTCACTTCTATGTGTACATTCTACATTCATACATGAGTTCATCTTCATTTACTGTAAAAATTCCAAGCATCGCAGTGCTGGTCAATGTGGTTTTCTGTGATTGCGGACTGGTTGAGATCAAAACGTCTATCCTGGAAACCGAAGATAAATGACTTTCATTTTCAGAAGCGGCTATGTGCCAAACTATGTGGGGGGCATTTTGTTCGAAATTTTTTTTTGCATTTTGATATGCTGAATCAGATAAAACAAATCTGCCATCCTGTAATTTGAGACTTTACCATAGTCTGCCGAGTAATCTGAGATGTAGGACCAAATCTGAGACATTGTATCCAGAGACCCCTGAATTGTTTTCTCCTCTGTGTATCATTACTAATCCCCACAGTTCAGCAGGAGGTTCAATATGAACCCTCCCCACACACCTCCCAGTCCACCCCCATTACCGATCCTGACACAAGGTATGGTCTTTTCAGTGACACAGAATCCTAAAGAGTTATAGCCGTTTGAGGGTATTTTGGAGAATTTGGAGGTTTTTTATTAGCCTCTCCAGATGAGACTCAAGTTCAGTGAGTTATGGGTGCTGGTGGATTCAAATTTGACCCCTGACCCACATGATTAAAAAGAAGTATTTCTCCAGGTTTTTGATACCTTTGAGTAAGTTTTCTGCAGGGATTTTCAAATGGGTTGCCATATTCTTGTGGGATGGCCCCCAGATTGTTGCAGATGTTTAATGGTGACCTATTTATGACGTACTTCTTAGTCACTGTTTTTCCTGTGGGGGGGGTTCAGATGTTTCATTACAGCAAATCGAATGTTCTGAGCTTGTTTGCAGCTTGCCTAGTTTTTCAATAAAACTTCTTGAAAGAAAAGAAGAAAATTATTTGTTCGTTTGGGACAGTACGGTTTTCGGTTGTCTTTTATGGCATGTTAAAAATAGACTGAAAGGGGGACAGATTTAGGAGTTGAATGGAGAATGAAACCAAAGGGGGTTGCCTGGTTGTGGTGGCACTTCATATGCCAGCCTTGCCCATGGTGTTTGGGGGAGGGTCACATTAAGAATCTTGGACACTTACAAGATTTGACCACTTGACCATAACTACAAGTGGTCATCTTGTCAATTCAGGCAAAAAAGGCCCATCGGGGAAAGAAATGCCTTTCACAAATTTACTTTTTGTCTGAAAATAGTGTTCATTGATTCAATTCAAGGTTTGTCACAGTGATCTTTTTAGTCAATGCACCAGGGTCAGTGCGGTGTTGCTACATCAGGACCTCAGACATACAGCAGCAAACTGTGTATTGTTGCCCCGAATTTTCTGGATTAAGTCCTTGGAAATATTGAAATGCAGCGTTGATCCCTTGGAACAACAGCTGTCGTAATCATCAGCAGCAGTGGCCCAGCCTGAAATAATATTTTTCCATTTTTTTTTTTTTTTTGGTTCTGGGTACCATATCAGATTCCCATGATAACCACCTAGATTAGGTTGATTGGGGTTGACAGAGCCTTCTCTGGGAGGTCGGGGGTCATGTAAAGCCCTTCAGCTCAGCAATGACGATCTAATTCCCTAACATGATCCCTGCACCAATATGACAGCCACTGTAAGGGGCAATTTATGCCAGGCATCCGTTTGATCGCAACTTCACATTTTTGTGATTTTTTTTTTTATGAACACAAATCTTAAAATTTCAAAGTCTGACATACTTCATTATGCGGATGGCAAAAATGACAAAAATGTTGCTCCTTCCTCACTTGCATGTCTCCTCAGTGGGGTGGTGGACACGGGGGAGTGATCCATGTAAATCCCTTGCAGAAAGAACAACATTGGTTCCATTACTTTGACTTGTGGAAAAAGTTGTCAGAATAGTTTCTGTCCGAATGTTTTCTAAGATTTGGTGGGGCTTTTTCCCCTCTGGCTATCTTACTTTTCCGTGTTGGTATTTTTGATTTTGAACTTGCAAAAGAAATTATCCTAAACCCCCTGGGCATTTATTTGGAATGGAACATGCTGTAATTTTCTTAATATATACCTCTATGCAACAAACCTGCAGCACATAACCAGAATCTTTCAACTTACAAGGGGAAATATACCCTCCATATGGTGGCTTGGCTCCACCTCCCTTAATCCTGCAAAATCCTCCCAAATACCGAGGTAGGTTTTGGAGGATCTGGGCAGATAGGGTTAGCTCTCTGCCTCAGTGCATTCACCGAGTAATGAAGTTGGACGTGGCGGTTGCTGCCGTAGAAAAAAAGGGGGGGGGAGCCCTCAGCACCCAAACCCAAATTAAATTGATAGTGCTGGAAATTTCACAATGTCACAAGTTCAGCGCAAACATTTGCCTCAGCTGCCATAAACCAGGCGTATCGATTTACCAATTTTCCCCACAGAGCAAGTCAGGGTGGTGCCCGCACGCCCGGCGCGTCACTGCGTCCCCGTTTCACCCGCCCAGGGCATAGGTTACCAGACTTGGGCCAGCAACATGTCTTTTTTTTTAATCCAGGGAAATTTAGACCAGGCACCGAGGAATGTTAATTATAAATGGTAGTGACATTGCACACATTGTTTGATGCCAATCGGGCATGATTAACCCATATAGAGCATGCTTCTACTTTTTCACTGTATAAAGATTTTTTACATTTGGGCAGTTAACAAGGTCTCTACCAGCAGCACCGGTAGCTTCAAAGTGACGAACTTTACCTGGAAAATGTTGGAAACAGATTCCTTCATTTTCAGGAATGATAAAGCCTGATGGATCTGTAGATAATTGAACTGAATTTTTCCAAACTTGTACGTCACAGTGTCATTACAGTTGTTTGACGACTTTCATGAGTATGTGTATCAGGTCTGTGCAAGTCAAGGTCGCGTCACAAGTCAGGGATGAAGAGGAATGCTTTTGTTTGTGTTTGTTTGAGTAGCTTGTGAAGTTGTGAAAAACTGATTTAGCTTAAAGGGTAAATGGCATGTGATGATGTTTGACTTACGAGGACCATCAATAGGCTTGACTCCCTCCCTATACAAAGTAGGAAAAAAAAATAATATAACACAATGAGGCTAAGTAAACAAACTATGCAGCAGATGACATAAGCTGTCATGCTTTTGTTCCTTAACCGGTGAGAAGGAAGCAGATGACAACATGGCACGTCGATAAAGGACGCCAGTGACAGACAAGCTGGGGTAATGTTTGACAACTGTCCAGCCCTGTGATCAAGCCAAATTGTGGGTTGGGTCGCCAGTCACTAGCCGGGGAATAAACGGTGTTGAAGGAATGCCTTGGTCATTGTTCATTTGAATAGACTGATCCAAAGATCACTTCATTGGTACCACATTCACGTGCACATTTTAATCTGTAGGTTTAAGTACATTAGCCCACTGGTCAAATTTTGGTACAGATATGAGAGGTGAACCAGCCTCAAGTAATACACTTGTGCGCAGTACTTCAGCTGGCAACCAGTAATTGCCGAGGAAATTATTTTCTGAATAGAAGATTTCTGTACTCAACAGCCCTGTGATATTGGCTGCAGGTAATAGGTGGGACTTTTGCTTGGTTAAGTTGAAAGTGAGGCTTCACTGGCAAGCCGTGGTTACTTGAACAGATTCTTACATAACAGCTTTGCAATCCACATAGTGACAATACAAAATTGCTCCCAGTGATGAGGGGCTTTAAAGTGGAAGACATTTTTGTACAAACTTTGACCAACTCCACTTTACTCCTGTGCACAGAGACAATAGGGTCCACAAAAAAATATTAACTTTAGCTGCCAGGAGAATTTATGGAGACACTGAAATGCTCTGTATGTATAGGGTCACT